TTTCAAATGGAACTGCTCTGTGAGATACAAAAGTCTGAAAAGCAACCACGGCTCTATGTAATTATATTGAAGAGATTTGAAATATATTAAAAAGTTAGAGTTGAGGTCATATCAGAGGGGAGCCCTAAGCATATCAAAACAGGAGGGAATGGAAATGGCCCTGCCCAAGCTAAAGTCAGCCAAAGAGGGATAATCATCAGCCCTTTGGGACCCTGAAGAGTTCAGCTGAATTAAAATATCCTACGGAGTGGGCGGGGGAATGGAAGCTCCGTGACAAAAAAAAAATATTCAAAATTAGCTGGGTGTTGCCTACAGCCAAAAGCAGGCAATAAGAAGAAAGGATGTATTCTCCAATGGAGAAGGCTGGCAGGACAAGGCAGTACAGAGGCCAAAGCCAAGCTGGAAATTCAGATCCCATGAAGGAAGACTGAGGATGAACCGATTCATTCATCCTGGGCCCAAATTACAGAAATCTGCAAGGCTGTGTCTTGGTTTGTCCCAGGCATGCTGGATATGGAGGTCCAAGCCAACAAGACTAATTTCAGAGACCACCTGATGGTTGCAGTGAGCAGGGCTGAGGCTCTACTTTCATCTCCATCCAGGGGTGGGAAGGGCTGGTAGTAGATCAAAATGCACATGGGCTTTGGAGCTAGAGAGTGGGTTCAAAACCCAGCTGTCACAAGCCGGCCATATAACCTTGGGCACAGTTGTGTTTATGTGCGTGTATTTCAATTATCTAGATAATTTCTCATGCCATTTCTGCCTTGAACTAACTTTCTTAATCTGGGATAACTCATTTTTACCTCTCTGGTTTCAGTTTCCTTAACATTTGAAGGACCAGGACGAAATAATATACATGAACCCTCCTAGCTAGAACATTTTTTTTTATCCTAATGCCCTTAAAAAATCCTTACAGAAAAGTGGTATAGCATAGACAGAAGTGCTGGTCCTGCCTCTGTAACACCAGCTTCTTAAACTGGACCCAGGATTTCACCCTTATGTCCTCAAGATTTTATATCTAGATATTAGATAGAAGACCTGCATTTGGGGGCCATAGTTACAATTACATAAGAAAATTTTTGTAAAAACAAACAAAAAAGAACAAGCAAACAAACAAACAAACAAACAAAAAGGTTCTTTCTTGGCCCATGAAAGGTACTGATTGATTTTTTTTTTTTTTTTTTTTTAGATAAAGTCTGTGAGTTCTCTTATTGTAGTAAAATAAAGTCTTTACAACCCACAGTGGAGTAAAGGAATATTGGCACTAACTTTAAATGGTCCCAGATAGTTTAAATTGTCAAGATTTTTTATCTGATTTTTATAGTTTCATTTGTTTCCCCTAGAGCATTCAGCTATTACTTCTTAATACCTTGGTGTGTTTACTCATAGTATGCCCTGCTCTTTATTGTTGCTTGTTTCTGTTTCACAATGGCCTTGGAAGAAGAAAATCAAGTTTGTAGAGTTGTATATATACTAAGAATCAATATAGTCCAATTCTCCTGTGAATAAAATGTTGGACTGTGTGTTGACTTCATAAAAATTATTTTATCACTACATTCTACCCAACAACAAAAGTCCAAAAATTAGAAACCATGCTAGATCTCTCCAACCCCTCACTTACACGCCATGCCAACCTTTTGCACCAATCACCTGCCCTCTCCCCACTTCATACTCTGAATAAGCCTCCATTGTCACTTCCACCCTGACCCAATTTGTTGACCCCCTGGTTTTTATCCCAGGTAGCAAAGAATGATAAGAGTCAATGATCCTCCTGGAATCTTTAGAACTCAGCCCAATTCTATATAAACAACCAGGCCAGCAAGATGGCAGATTGTTTCTTTTGGAAACCATCTTTACAGTTTGTTTTCCTGTTACAGAAACATGTTGCTAAGAGATCTTTGGCTTGGCAAGACCCACTAAATTTTTGCTAGAAAATCCTGGCTTTGTCTCTCTGACCACTGTTATCAAAACCTCTCAGCCATCCTCAGAGGCTCCATTATCATCACCACAAAAGGAAACTATTCTACTTTTACACATTCTTGCAAACTCCACGGGGGCCCATGAGTATTTATGAAAGAAGAGTACAGTCTAGTAAGTTAAGTATCACACTTAGGTTTGGGCTCTCCAATCTTTATGCAAAGATTGCTTCTTTGCTATTCAGACCACACACAGGGCAGTTCAGTTACCTTATCCAAAGAAAATCAGTGAAGATCAGAACATCAGAAACAATATCACATGAGCAGCGTTTAAGCAAACTACATTAAACTCAGAGCGGACTTCACATGGGGAAGTTGAGGCATGTAAAAGGGGTATTCAATTTTATCTATGGGGTACCCCAAGGTAAGACTGCATAAAATGTTTGAAGTTCACAGGGCAAAGATCAAAGCACAGAAAAACACAAATCCACCTAGTTATGCACAACGGAATGGTCATGCTCTGAAATGGAATGCCAATCACAGAAAAAGTTCAAGGAGAAGTTAGATGAACCATATGTCTGGTGGGTTCTAAGAAGGGTTCATGAGCTGAGACTTTTAAGGGCTTTTACTGTGAGATGCTGTGCATCCATTGTAGTCTCAAGTCTTTTGAAAATGGTGTGCTGTGGCCTATGGATTTCCTATCAGTATAATAACACAATGGTTTCCAAGTCCCTTTCAGCCAAAATTGTTTCAGTGAGCCAAGTGATCTATGATGTGCCTTGAGCTCCATGATGAAAGATGCAATATAAAAAAAAGGGTAATTTTAGTCATAATAAATAGTGGTAATGATGATGAATGGTAGTGTCACTGAGAAGAAGCTGGCCTGCCATTAGGGAGTCTAAAACAACCAGCTATGAGCTTAAAATGACTGTGTCCAGGCCAGGAGGATGCTCCGTGACTGAGACCACATTAACCTTTCAACCAAAGACCTGGACCAAGCCCCTGATTTGGAGGTGTGAGCAGTTGTATTGGAAGAAACTACAATACTTATCCCTGAGCTTGAATATTTGCCTTGGGCTTAGGAGACATTCTCCCAGACAGGTCAATAGGGAGCATGTTCCCTTACTCTTCCAACAGAAGAGGAAACTGAGTAGGTCAGGGTAAGAGCCAGATTGCACACTAGAGTTATGACTCTAAACCCAGTATGCTTTCCATCCTCTACCAGTCCCCCGACAATTCAATGGAAAGAGAAACTTCAGGAAAGAGCCAACTTGGATGAGAACATGCTGAAATGGGATCATGTTCCTCAAGATGGCTTGCATAGCTGTTTCCCATCCATTTAGGCTGATAGAGCTTGCTAGTGAAATCCTGGGAGCCTCAAGCAGGGAGGAGTCACTCATTAATGTCCTAGACCTGTTCTCCGGAGCCAGTGTAACATATGGCAGGAGGCCGCTGAGTTCTGCTGGACCAGGAGGGAACACTGCTCTAGAGCCTTGTCCAGCTTGAGAGCTAAGAAGGCTAATTGCTTCCAGAGGCCTAATTAATGCTCCTAAATGAGGGACTTGGCCTCCTACTCCTCACATGCGCTTGAAGACCAACCAGTCGCCACAGGCAAAGACAAAGGACCCTACTCTCTGCCCATCAAAAACCTCCACCAAAAACGAGGGAGTCTGGGAGTTACAAAACCAGGAAACTTGTTAGGAACACACAAATCCTTTACTTCTTTGCCTTTTTTATTTTTTTGGTATATACTGAAATTTTATTTTTAAAGTCTATAGCTTTGACTTGCTTGCATTTTGGCATAGTTTAACATATTTTATCATTTGGAATGTACTCTGATCCTCTTTTTATATTTTATCATGATTTTTTAACTGATCAGTATTCTTTTTTGTGCTTATCCTTTGAAGCTAGTCTATTCTCAGCTGCTTAACATGTATTTCATTTTTTTCCTTAAGGAAATTAATTACTATTTTATCTTTCTTAAAATGGTCTCTTATTTAGTTGAAGCCATTTTAACTTTTATCTCTTTGAAATTTTTGTTTTCTTTTTTATATTTTTTAAATAACTCTCATTTTATCTCATGTCACCTTTTGATATTGCCCTATTTTCTCTGTTTTCTAAACTTGTGCTTTGCTTCTCTAATACTGACATTTTAAACTGTAAGTTCTTTTCCACATATAGCCTCTGAAATTACTTTTCTTTCAATTTTTTTTAACTTATCTTATGTTCTGTTTTTCCCATAGGACACCAGTGTCCATTCCCATAGTGAGAAGAATCCTCGATGACCATAGGAAGAGGCCTTAGTCTCTTTCCACAGGGTTTGAGAATTTGTGAACATTAATCCTGCCGCCCCCATCCACCAGCCATGGCACCTCGGGGACCCGCTCTGGTTTCTGCGCTTCAGCTCGCAAAGTCTAAAAACGCCAACTTCTTCCAAAAGACCTCATCAGACCCTGGACTTCCTTGTTCCCACCATGTGTTCTGAAGGTGGCAGGAACGCAGTGAGGAGAAGCATCGCCCCTTCTGTCTCTCCTTCAACCAACCATGACCCTCCAGCCATTCCACAGCCCCTTTCAACCCTGCCTGCCAGCCCATTCGGATACGGTGACACCCTTCTTGGGGCTATATCCAGAACCCAGTAAAATACAACTCAGAATAAAGATCCCCCTGCAGTAAATATCAGTAAGGATATAAAAGCACTGGTCTTAACTGTGGAGAAATCAGAATTTGAGTTCTGACTTTGCCACTAACCCACCATGTGCCCTGGGCAAATCCCTTGATTACCATGGACACTAATTTTCTCCTTTAAAAAAAAAGACTGTTACCCCAGATTATTTCTAAGGACCCCTCTGGAGTTAACTGCCTATGAGTCTATGCCCTTCTATAAAACAACAACAACAAAAAACCTGACACAACCTCAATGTGTATGGAAAGTGTGTTGTTATTTGTACCCACTAACAGAAGCCCAAGAGAATTTATTCCTGCCAGAGTACCAAGGCCTCTCCAACCACACCCACTGAGCGACACAATGCGTTACCATGGTGACATAAGTGAGGACCCAGTTGATCTGGGTGTCTGACATACTTGCCATTGATGACACCATCTGGATTGAGCATGGGGATGATCTTGAAAATGAAGTTTTCCCTCAGGAGTCCAGCCACGGGGTCACTGCTGACCAGGAACTCCAGGGCCCCCTTCATCACCCAGCTGGCGTTGCTCTCTCCAGGGTGCACTCGGGCAGTGATCACCTGGTATGGACGCTGCCCTGCCAAGACAGGAACATGAGAAAATTAAACCTAAATACACTTTCCATTTCCAGCAAGATAATCTCCCAGGGGCCAGAATTACACCTGACTGGCATAAAGTCCAAAATACGTTGATTGTTTCCCATACACATCTGATCCACACTGATCCATTTTTCTATTTGCTTCTATAGTTTGCAAGACTCAAGAAAGTATAAAGTGAAAGCTCAAGGCTGTTATCAAAAGCTAAGTACTTAGTGGCATGAAAAGAAGCCAAGAAGCCAATTTTATCAAGACCACCAAAGGAACAATTAACTCTCCAGAATCCAATAGCATGATGCTGTATGTCACAGATCTGAAATTGAATCTTATCTTCATACTTAGAAGTTATAAGATCTTAGGTGAATAATTTAATTTCTGCAAGGCTAATATCTCATCTGTAAAATGGGGACAATGATGCTGATCTTGTGTGAGTGTTATAAAAACAGAAAGATGTAAATAAGGCACTTGGCATATTACTTGCCATTCACTACATGTTAGTTTCTCCCATCTCAGTGATGGTGTCTGTGGGTAGGATGGCCCCCTCTCATTCCCCAGTAGAAATGGGATTCAAGGGCAGAACTTGTGCTGGGAACTTTATGTCTGTAAGAAACTGAACTCCAACACTGAGAAAGACTTGACAAGAGTGAAGCACCTGGAATCTCAATCATGCAAAAAGAATCAGGAAAACACTCTCTGCCCAATCACAGGGAGCATATTGATCTGAAGAGAACTTATGGAGAATGCATTGATGAGAGAAAGATGGGCTTGTCTTCCTTCCTTGTTGAGAGAAAACATCTGGACCATTATAATGTTGAGATGTACTCTAAGACCACATCCTGCTTCAGGTGAAAAGTGTGTTTTGATTGATTAATGGTGTCTGCCCCCCCCCAATACGTTTGGGGAAGGAGGGCGGAAGATGTGGCCTCATACCAGAAGTTGACCACATCTGCTCCAACCCCTTGTCCAATTGTGTGTGTGTGTTTTCTGACTCTCTTTTCCTTCTGTATCCTCACCCAATTCCTTAAAGCTCCTAAACCCACCTGAATGACAAGAACTAAGCATTCGCCAAGTATAAATACCCCAGCCACCAAGCAGCCTAAAAGTTAAACTAGTCATTTCTTTCCATCTCATTCAAATCACTGCCAGCTAAATACAGCTTTTCTTCCCTTAAATAGTAGCCTTTTTGAGGGAACAAACTGTGTCTCAAATTCTGTGCAAAGAAATACAAAATTGAGGGGCACCTAGGTGTCTCTGTCAGTTAAGCGGTTAAGGGTCCTGGGATCAAGCCCCGAGTCAGGCTCCCTGCTCAGCGGGGAGCCTGCTTCTCCCTCTCCCACTGCTGTTCCCCCTGCTTGAACTCTGTGTCAAATAAACAAATAAAATCTTTAAAGAAAAAAAAAAGAAATACAAAATTGAATAACTTTCAGTAACAGAGCTAAAGAACAGGTAATTGTGAATTATATTACTATTATCATCCATTTAGACCAAAAAAAAAAACTAAAAAACCACCATCTGTTGACAACCACTGAGATCTCAGTTTGAGGAGCAGAGATCGGTACCTTTTTACTGACTATGGTGAGAGCAGATCACGTCAGCCCTTTATAGATCATTTATATATTGGAGATAATATTTGGTTGTTTTTCTCTAAGCAGGTGTCTTGAGCATATTCCAGGAACTGCAGGAGCCATGGAATATGAAAGTTGAATAAATTATAGTCCTTTTTCCGTAAGAGGCCGTAGCCTTTGCCAGTAGTGACAAATGCAAGCAAATACTGGCAAGTGAGCTAATGGAAGTGTATATAAAGTACCAAAGACAGATCTGACTGAGAGAGGGAAGGATGTTTCCAGAGCTGTGATACTTTTTGGACTGAGTGTTGCAGAATGAGTCTCATCCTATGGGGGAGAAGGTGAGAAAGCATCTTCTAAGCAAAGAATAAGACACATGCAAAGAACAAAAAGGAGTAAAAATTGGAACATTGAAGAATCAAGGAAACCACAAGTGGCTGAAACGAAGGACTGAGGATGGTAGGTACCACATGGATTTAGAAAAGTAGGCTGGTGTCAAACTAGTAAGGTCTTCCTGATATGTTTTGTTTAGGGATTTGGACTTTATTCTACGTATCAGAAGTTCTCAGCCATGGAGTCAGTGTCTCACAGGTATGCTATGGTCATTGATGGTGCCTACTGAAGAATCATTGGTTACCAATAAAAGTGTAAATGTTTGCTTATGATACTGTATATGTGATATATATATCTATACATATACTATGCACACACATGGCACAAACTGCTGGTTTTCTGTCCAGTAGCCTTTCTTCTTTTCTTTCTGACAATGAGACCCAATTCTGCGGGTGAAAGGATGTGTCCAGATTCAAACAGCCAGATGCATGGATCCTCTTGTAGGGAAGAGTGGCCATGTGATCAAGTTGTGGCCAATGAGATGTAAATGGTAGCAGGAGGTAAGTCTTTCTAGCGAACTAATTGAAGAGGACAGTTTCACCTGGCAAATTTGTCTTAGTCTTTGTCTCTTTTCCTTGCCCTTCTTCTTCCTCTTGCATTGAACACAGATACAATACTTTCAGGTGAGGAAGTCAACTTGAGAACCAAAGTCACATGCTAAAGATGGTGACCATAAAGATGGGAAAAACCTGGGTTCTTGATAAATTCCTTAAGCAGCTACCCTACACCTTCATGAGCTTCTTCAGTGCTTCTGGATATCTGAGACCAATAAACCACTCTCTGGCCAGGCAAATGTAATCATAGTTCTGTTACAACTGGTTAAATTCTAGTCTAACTTATATAAGATCAGATTTGAAATCATCCTGATAATATTACTTTGTTTTTTGGGGGGTTACTTTGGTTTTGGGTTTTTTTTTTAAAGATGTTACGTATTTATTTGAGAGAGAGAGAGAGAAAGCACGAGCTGGGAAAGGGACAGAGGGACAAGCAGACTCCCCACTGAGCAGGGAGCCTGATGTAGGGCTTGATCCCAGGACCCTGAGATCATGACCTGAATCAAATTCAGATGTTCAACTGACTGAGTCACCCATGTGCCCCTAAATATGTTACTTTGAATGGAATGCCGTTTTGTGCGCTTTCTGGATTTGGGAGGAGAGAGTGAAAGAGAGTCTTCATGAGACTATTTGATACGCATGTCCCAGGAAGGAACAGCCGAGAGCCACTATTTTAAGTAGAGAGTCCAGGAGCACCTGGGTGGCTCAGTTGGTTAAGCATCCAACTCTTGGTTTCAGTTCAGGTCATTATCTCAGGGTTGTGAGACCGAGCCCAGAGCTGGTCTTGGCATGGAGTCTACTTGAGATTCTCTCCGTCTCCCTCAGCCCCTCCCCCAATTCGTGGGTGCACTCTCTCTTTGTATCTCTAAGAAATAGAGAGTCCATGATGGTTTTTCAGCAGGAGAAAGACATGCCAAAGGCTATGCTTCATAAAATCATTTTGACATTATTGTAGATCATGCCTTTGCTAAATCAGAGACAGTATGGTCTGTTGAGTAAAGAACAACTTTCTGGAGCCCTATTTCCAGAGTTCACATTCCAGCCCCACCATTTTCTACAGAATGAGTTATGGAAGTTTCTGATGAAATCAAGTATTGGATTGGGCATCCTGCAGATAAGACTAATGCTTTGCTAACTGGAGCTTACTAAATAAACATATTGAGAAGGAAAAGAGATATACAGTTAGCTAGCTGAGCAGAGCTGAACCTAACTGAAGGCCAACTTGCCCCTCCATCATTTGCTTACAATTACATCTCACTCTTTCCAAAGCAAGTCGTATTGGCACTCCAATAAAAAGCTTGTTGAGAAAGAGGCTTGATGAATTTGTACTCAATCAGCAGACTATTTTCAGTTCTATAATTCCATACCACTCTCTTTGTGGTCTTTGAACTAAGTTCATTTACAGCATATGGAACAACAATAGTAAGTACTCCCAGCCCAGCAAGAAGAAATAAAAAATAGCTTAAGCTCTTGTAAATTTCCAATACCAACTGAACAGCCTCATTGTCTGGGCCAGTTGGTTCCCACTGCCTGTTACCCAGTACAGTTCAGTGCATTAGTCATTAAGCAAATGCAGCCCTCGCTAAGACTTGTCCACAGTGTTCCTTCCCTTCCGAGAATCAGGTTGATAACCTGCTATATTGTAATACACCACAAGACCTAACAGGCTGTTCTGAGCATCCTGACGAAGCAAACGGGGAAAACTGTGGGTTCTCATGAAGACATAAGCAGCATGTTTGCCATTTCTAGTTGATTTTTCTCTTTCCTCTGTGATTTAAGACAATTTTACAGTTGTATTGGTGAGTTAAACTTATGAGACCATTCAGCTGCAGCAGCAAATGGTGCTCCAGAGAACCCATAATAGACAACAGCTGTAAATACTATGCGACACATATACTATGTGGTTTTTTTTCTTGTTATTGACAATTTCAGTTTTAAAAACTCATTTCTGCTTAGGGTAGGGCAAAGGGTATCAGGTATCTGCATTTTTTTTCCTCTGTAATTTATAAAATCTATTCTGGAGGTCACCAAAATCTGTGGGGGAGTCATAGTTTGGCAATATGCTAATTCTTAAAGCTAGGTATTGAATTTATGTCAGTGGTAACAACATCTGTAAAAAGAGGTTAGAAACAAGTAGGGGATTATATGAGGCTCACGGCCAATGAAAACCTGAGTGAGAACTGAAGACATATGTGATGATACACATGTGTACCCAGCTATATAAACATCCATCCAGTTTTTCCTTTTTTCTTTCAACAATATATATTAAACTCCTACTGGCACTCTGGAAGGTTCTGGAGGTTCCAAGGGTAATAGTGGTTTTTGCCCTCAGGGAACTAATGAGTCTGGTGGGAAAGACAGGCACACAGATAATTATGATCCAGTGTGATCGGGGACATTTGTCAAGACATTTTCAAAGCATAGTGGAATGCTCATTACAACATTATTTATAGTGATGTGATCAACTGG